ATTTTTCTTTGAACATCTGGGAACCCCAAAAACATAGACAACCACAGAACTACCTAGAAAAACCAGAGAAAATCCTGGAAAAACCATCGAAAAAAGGATGAAAGGCATGAGTAGATCTTACAATAAATTTTACAAAAACCTTTGAAAATCCTAGAAATCCAGCGGGAAACGTTGCAACATCTAGGAGAAACTAAGGGCACTGGCAGGGACCAGGCCGCGACCAGCCCGGGATTCGAGCCCGCACCATTTAGGGACCGTGCTTATTTTCCCGCGCGGGTGGAGAGGGTGCCCCAATCCCCAGTAAGAAGCAAACCAATACATTTGGAGAAATCTTGGACAATTCTTGGCTATTTTTCGTCACTCCAACAAGGCTCCGGAGGGGTAGGGGAGGTATAGCCTTAATCATAGCCTTAGCCTTAATCATCGCCTTGGCCTTAATCAGCAGTCGCGCCTGACCCCACGAGTGGGGTCGGTGGATTTGGCTTGTTTTGCGCCTGCGCATTAAACCTGGTAAGATTTTCTTCGCTTGTGCTTAGCGGCGGCGCGACTCCCTGATGTGAGGTTTTCCTGTTTCAAGGCTTTGAAAGCGGACCAATAACCAAAACCAGTCGTTCTTTCACGTGTGCCTTCGCCCCCAGACGTGGATTATCAGCAAGTTATTTTGCTGTTTTAGCGCCTGCGCATTGAAAATTGGTCGCGTCTCTGCCGTTCTGCTCAGAGGAGTCTAACCTGTTCTCAGCTCATTGGATGTCAAACATGGACCTACCTGCAAGTTACTGTCACCAAGTCATGCCACACATGATTATCTGAAACACGGTCCCTTTAGGGCTTCGGTTCCATCGTTGATTCAAAACAAACAGCTTGTGCTGAAATACAGGAGCACTGGTTTACAAACAACTGTGTCAGCATCAGGAATATATGTTATCTGAGGGCGGCCGTCAAAGTGGGCCATGGGCATTTGGCATATATTGGTTTGTTTTTTCCTCATTGGGTTGTCCGCTGCTTCTTGGTGTTGCATTCGATGTAACATCACAATTCGAAAGGCGAACAAAATCGGGAAAAGGAGGTATCGTTCCAAATCTCAACACTGTGGACACTGGCTGCAAAAGCCAATTTGTCGACAAATTGCTGTTGAGGATGAACAGTTGCAAGTAAAACTGACAGGATGGAAGTGCAGATGCACATTGAAAACCAGAAAGCTGAACATAATAGAATTTTTGCTGCCGATGATTTTGAAAGCCATTGGCACCCATGTTTTCAACTCACTTCACAAGCCTGTTTTTGACCATCAAGAAATAACGGGGCCGCATGATGCTTACGAGCTTGTGGGTATTGAGCGTGTTTTCTCAAAAAGGAAAGCTTTGCTTGCTGCCCTTTGCTTGAGAGAGTGGCCGGTTCACATTTGTTGCTCCAGTGCAGTCATTACATATCCAATCGTGTTCTGGGTTTGGGCATTTGTCACGCCTTGGATTCCTTTTGTGCTTTGTAGCCACCGCCAGTTCGGTTTCCCAAGGCCTGTGAACCAAGCTCTGAGAATGTTACGGTTGATTTTGCAAGTGCGGGAAACGTGCCTCTGGCAATGCAAATTTTCTTTGGTGATGGTGGCTTGGCTGTACCCAGTTCTTTTGCATCTTGATGACATCAGGGTCAACTCTTCAGTTTGTGAGCGTGTACCTCTGGAGGGTGTATTATCGCATCCTGCACCACCAGCACATGAGCCACCAAAAGGTGAAAAAAACGGTATGTCCTCTAAGCTATGGGTTGCGCATCCTTTCCACAACAAACTTCACATTATCACTGCCCCAGACCCAGCCACCACGGTCTATGCGGTGTTATCTACACGCATTCCAGTATTTTTACTAGACCAAAGCCAGCTCTTAGTCGATGGAACTTGCATGTCCATGCAAACGCTTGTGTCCAACATGCCTAAACATTCAATGTTCCGAGTGGTGGTTAATCCTCTGCGCGGCGGTGTCGCCGACATTCTCACTTTTGAAGAAGCGGAAAGGGCGTTGAGCGCGCACAGATTGCATTTCGAATCACATACGCAGTGGCAAAACATGCAGACATTTTGCCGCCTTCGCAGTAAGAGTCCCACAAGGGGGGATGCAGATATGTGGAAAAAGCTTGCCACCGCGTGGGCGCTTCCTAGGCAGAAGTTGGACGAAATGAAAGAACAGTGTTTGCAGAGGTTTTTGCGATTCGTCCGTGAACACATGGCTAAATTGACTTCCGCAAACGTAGTAACTCATAGGGAACACAACGTTGCTGCTGAGCAGCCTGTCCTGACGGAAGATCACCGCCAGCTGCAGCCTGCAAGTCAAAGCATGATTGAGCAAGACCGCTTTGCAGCAGCGCAGACATTGATGAACCAGAACCAAGCACATTTCCAAACGCATCCTCAACAGAAAAACTTGGAGGAGTTTTGTTACTTGTTTACCAAAAAGGCGGAAAGAGGCGATGTGAACAGCTGGCGAAAACTTGCGAGCAAATGGGCGCTACCACGAACCAATGTTTCAGACTGCAAAGAAGCGTGTTTGAACACATTTGTGAACATGGTAAATACCGCCTGTTTGACAACCTCGCCCACGGTAAGAAACGAACTAGCAAATGTCGAAGAAAGGAACCCCAAGCCAGGCTTGACTCAAGGTTTTTCCTTTCTAGTGCGGCCGGGCAATGTTTTTGATCACAAAATCATGGTGCCGAATGCTGTCGTGGAAGCACTTTTAACACTGGGTGTGGTCGAAAACACAATGACAGAAGGAATGAATGACAAGCATTACAGCTGGATTGCAGGTTTAGATACTTCGCAACAATGGTCTTTCCTTTTGCAGAACATGCCTTCTGGAAAGCAAAAGGAAAATCTGCAACGGATCTTCGAAAGCGCGACACAGCCGGTGGGGCAACACAATGCTTCGGGCAGTTCGTTTGGAGAACCTTCTACGGGGAGATCTGGCGCACACGTTAGAGCGCCTGCTGTTTCTGAGCCAGCTTGCACCGCAGAAGCAAAAACGATGGCAAACAAAAAGCGCACATCTTGCGAAGCTATGAAGCCACCTTCGAAAAAACAAAGGGCAGCAGGCACCGCGATGTCACAACAAAACGTGTTGGAACAACTCAAAGCAATGAAGCCGCCACACGAACAAGTTGTTGATCCAGTGGAGACCGATCCTCCTAACCCAGGCGTGTTTCCAAGCGGCGGCGTCTATCAGAACCAACAACGCAACAAATATTGGTGGCAAGCAAGTCTTTTTGCAAAGTTCCGATGCCTTTCTTCAAATGACCCTGCTGAAGCTCAACTGCGCAAACGTTGTTTTATTGCTGCCAACTCTTGTACCAAGCGCGGGTTGCCCCAAAAAATGCAACAGGACAAAGCTTGGTGGAAAGATGCTCATTTGAGCAACCGTATTTCCACCCTTAACAGTGCGCGAACAAGATTGGCGACAGAGCTTTTGCACTTCGAACTTAGTGCTTTTCTCATGGAAGCACCGTGTGCTCAAAACCAAGCTCTGTATGGTTCTTTGATTCCGACCAACCTGGCAGACCTAGGAAAACTTTTGAGAGAAGAGCGGCCAGAATGTTTGTTCGGATGCTGGCCAAGTGCATGCCCATTTTTGCGTCCCTCAGCTTCGCAGTTTTTTCGGCATTTGGCTTTAATTGAGCTCCAGGATCTTCACTATTGCGATTTGCCGTTGAATTTGTCCGAAGTCTTCAACTTGGTCATACAGAACCGCATGGGCCGAGCTCACCTAAATAAAAGTGAAAGTGTTACAGCGGCAAAGCAGGTAGTTACAAACAATTTGCTTGCATATTCGCATTCCACTTTCAATCTCCATGCAAATAGGCGCTTTCTATTTCCACACGTTGGCCCAGAAGACAGCGTGGAAAATCGCATTTCGACTTTGGTTACCGCAGCGTTTGAATTTTTACAAGAGCATTCTTTGCAGCCGGAAAACATCGACACCCTGCTACTTTGCAGCATTTGTGTGTATCATTCGAAAATCGTGGCCGGCCTCTCTCGCATGAACAAAATATCTGCGTGGACGCCTTTTTTCCAAAAACGAAGGACATACATACCGGGAGATGCCATTTTTTGCAAAGACAAGTTGGCAGCGCACGCCTTACCAGCGCACATCACAGACTTACAGCCTGATTCGACCACGCCTTCAGCTGCCTTTGCCCCAGCGCCTGTGACATGCCAGTTGTGCCACGCATCACTTGTTAGCATGGATGCGCTCTGCAAGCATTGTGACGACAAACATGCTAACTTTGCAGAGTACCGCAAAAAGGTCTTTTTTAAGGCACAGCAAGCAAACTTTCAACCAATGCAACCTTGGGTCAAAAGAAGTCTGATTCAAAATTTTGCATTCTTTCAAAGATATGCCACGCCAGGACATCATAATGAATGGTTGGCAGGTACATTTGACCATGCTCAGCCACGATCTTTGCATGCTTGTGTGTTTTGCTGTGTTCGTGACTATCCCGAAAATAGATTCGAAGTCTTTTTGTTTCAAGAACCCACAGGCTCCACGTCATGGAAGCAGCATTTTTACAACCAGCAGAAAGAAACGAACGCGCGCGATCAAGGGTTGTTGCTGTTTACTGCTGACGGCAAGTTTTGTGTTGGGCCGGCAGAAAAAGTGAATGCGCTACTTGCAGTGGAAGCATACTCAAAGTTACAACCGCACATACCCTTGCAAGAACTCTACGCTTCAGCAGTTCGACATCCGGATCACGCAAATATGCATTGGCTTCTCCATTGCAGAAGGGTTCCAAAAATTCCTTGCCAAGCGTCGGGAAACGTGATGTGTGCAGGCGTTGGCAAAAAGGACGAAACTTGTTTTGCCTGCAAAACATGCCTGGAACATTTTTGTCAAGTTTCTGGCCCAACAATGGCACCGTTGGCTTTGTCTAACATGAATTGGTTAGGGCGTGAGCAACCCCTTTACCAAAAACTTACTTTGGGTACCAAATTGCTCCTCGGCAAAGGCCGTCCCGTCATGCGGCAGATTTTCTTAGGGCCTTCGACGGCCAAGGAGTCCTATAAAGGCTTGGTGGGCAACACCATTCTTCTAGCGCAGGCCGAAGCAAAGACTACACAGATCTTACCATCTTTGAACAAAGTCTTGGATCAATTGGTGATTGTTTTCACAAGAAGTGTCGAGGAAGTCAAAACCTGTAAGGCATTAACCGTCAACCGCGCAGAGTTTGTGGACTGCTTGCGCTTGAGAAAGAAACATTGCCCTGTGTTTTTTGACACCGATATTGATCAAGATGCCGTTCAGAAGCTGCCAGTCGAAGGGGTTCCAAACGAATTTATCGAACATGCCATACATCTTCCGGAATCAACATTTTTGCAGCGTATGCAAGGGCCGGGCGACCTGCCCGTGACAGCGCCTCCGTCCAATACCGATGGCAACATTGCTGAAGAGTCTGATGATGACCACGAGGTTGCGCAAGCTGATGATGAATCTGTCCATGACGATGCGCCGGCCTGCGCAGATGAAGGCCATGAGCGTGCCACTCGTGAATCTCAAAAAAGCCCTGAATTTATGATTGCCATTGATTACGAGCAAGACCCGAAACCGGCGCAACTTTTTCAAGCGATGCAAAAAAATTGGAACATCTTCAAAAAGAAGTTGCAAAAGTTAAGACCAACCAAAGTGGTGCTTGGGAAAACGTTTCAGCCACTGTGCGACAAGTAGGTCAGCAAGAAACTTGTCAACGCCTTGTGATCGATTTACAAGACACGATGAGGAAACTATTGAAAGAAGCCAAAAATTTGGACGACGTGGCAGCAAGTTTGCTCCAGACCTCGGTGACTGCTGATTTTTTCGAAAAGGGTGGTCAAATACACATCGACGCTTTGGCAGTGCCAACAACGACAGTCTTGAGCTCCTTTGACCCCAGAAGCTTTCCAAGCTGCTTTGTCGAGTTTTACTATGGAGACGCAGTGCCTGGCCTCTCGGGACGCCCAAATTCCACAGTGACATACCAAAGCTTGTTTTCTGCACTGATGCAGCGCGAAGAGATGGAGTATTCTTGTTCTGATGATGTTGAGCCGTACCAAGCCCGTGCAGTTTCTCGTTTTGATTCACCAGAATTTGCTGCCCTTTTTGGAGACATTCTTCGGAAAATGAAAACACTGCAAGCAGTAAACGCGTCGTTTCAGAGGCAAGGCTTCGAGAAGGACTTGAAGACAATTGCTTCTTCGCAAACAACCGATTTTCTGGCCGCAGCTGCAGGAGAGATGTGCGGCAATAGCGTCGGACAAATAATACAAAATGCAGCAACGCCTCCAAAAGTTCGAGCAGCTCTGCGGCATATGTTGTTTTCAACCGCCACCGTGCCTTTGACAGAGGGGTACAAAGTACGGCTAAGGCATTTTGGGCAATCGCTGACTCATTGTTTCGGACCAACCACTGTGTTTTGCACACATAATTATGGTGACACCTACAACCCACTGATGCGTCAACTTTGTGAAAATCTTGGCCCTGAGTTTTTGAAAGACACGCCCGAGATGCCGCCTCTCCAAAAAATGCACGAACTGACTGCGGCTCATCCAGCTTGTACTGCAAAGTTTTTCTTGCTCATGGAAGAGCTAAATTTTAGACATATATATGGTCTTGATTCCATTGGTCTGGGCATCTACAAACTAGCCAGAGCCGTAGGCCAATCGAGTATCGAAGACGACTTTGCTTCTAGCAGTGTTCCTGGCGTTGCTGGATTTGCGTTGGCGATCCTTGAAGCTCTTGAAGCCCAAGGGCGAGGGTTTCAGCATGGACACCGTTTGGTCCGCGCAATTCCTGGGTTTCTTGCAAGCATGCAAATTCAAGGTGGTGACTTGTCCCCGAAAAGTTTGCGTGCCAAAATGCTGCAGCACAACGCAAAGCTGATCTCCCAAGTCAACACATTGCAGTACGAGAAGTCGACCTTGGTGGGTGAACAAGCTGGCATCAAAATGAAGCCAGAACCATTCAGTGCTCTTCAGCAAAAACAAACAAAATTTGATGGCGGACTAGAAGCTGATGAGATCACTCAAAGATTGTTGTTGCCTGTTGCGGCGGCAGAACGCTTGAAGCACGTGGAGCGCGAAATCGCTGCAAGCGAGCAGCAGCAACGCCCACCAGCAAATTTCTTCAAAGAGGTGTCATTGACAGGTGCCGAATTGAGCACGCTGCCAGAATACAAGTTGCCTTGTATAATTCCACAGGCTGCAGCCTGGAAGGGCCCACTTTCATTTTCCGTAGATTGTGATGAGTCTGGCGTCATTACCAAGGTTGCTTGCCCTGATGGTGAAGATGCCTGTAACTTTGACACTTTTCTTGCAGAGGCCCATAGGTGGGAGCAACGCTTTGCTGAAGATTTTCGTTTCTTGCACATTGCCACGCACAACCATGAGCGCAGTGTAACATGCTTGAAACACGTCAAAAAAACAGCGCAAGAAAAAAAGGCAGCTCTTGAAGCCCAGCCGTGCGCCCGACTGTCGGTTTTCGTTTTATCACACAGTTAAAATTTCTGGAAGAACATTCCGCCGTCGCGGGAAAATGCCAGTGTCAGAGACGAATATACTGGATTCTGTGGATCCTAACGAAAGTGGCTTAGTTCAAGTGCAACGGGCTCATCCATTTCGTTCCGCAACCTCAGACGTGACAATGGTTTCCTGCCGCTGCAATTGCGACTTCAAATTTCTAATCCGAGGGTTTGTAGTTGATGAAGATGACAATAAGATAACACTTGTTTGCGATGATAGCTGCCTTGGGCATGTCATGGGCATGAGCCGCGCTAGCATGCACAAACATGATTCGCGTGAGCTGCGCTTGTTTGCTCGTAATGTCATTGCTTTGCACGTCGCATCTTTCAATACTGACCACTACATCACAAAATACAGCACAAAACCCATGGAGGCAATGCAGTCGGCAGTGGCTCAATTTGCTGTTGGCATCAGAAGATTGGAGGAGGAAGAAAGCAAAGCTGAGGTTTGGACACCCCAATACCGTGCCAAGCGGGTGATTGTCAGGCTTGCGGCGGCTGCGAACCGCAGCACCTGGGTATCTTCGACAGAGTTGGCGACCACCATTCTGTGCGCAGGTCACTGCTGGGCTACTCATGCTGAAGTTGTCCTCTTTCTTTCAAGACCTTGGTTTTTGATGCAACAATGCCGGCGTCTCTTAGAAAATACACCGAGCCCTCTTCTGCACGACAACTTCGTCCCCATTGCTGCAGTTGAATTGAATGCTTCAGACTCTGAAGACGGAGCTAGCTTGGCTGAGGACTCTGCAAAAGAAGATCCTGAAGAAACGGCTGTCGAGGATGAAGAACAGCAGGACGCGGAAAAAGACCGCAACCAACATTGGGACAAAACTGTATTACGCACCACCACAACATTGCATGACGACTATCTTCACCGAGGGCCATGGCTGGCTCCAATGCCCCTGTTTGTCTATGCTTCTCGAGTACGTCGTGTTCGCAAACCTCTGAAGCCCAAAGATCATGAAATCATGTTTGAATTTGACCCGCACTACCAAATGCACGCGTTGTATTGCCAATGTTTTGCTTTGCAGATCACCGTACCCCGAATTGTCGGCCCGAAGCCGCCATCGTTGGATGATGCAGAAGCTAATGCCGCATATTTTTCGATGTTGTTTTTGCCTATGAAGTGCCAGGGCCTTACCTGCTGCACAGACCCCCTAAACTGCCGCCCTGCTCTCACATGCGTAAAAATCGGCAAACAAAAATTTTCCTTCGTTGCAAACTGGAAGGCTAGAAGAGCTGCGATAAACTTGGTAGCAAATCGAGCCCAACAAAAAATAGCATCCGCCGAGAAAATCGCCGTACTTTTCGACACCACTGTTGCCAAAAGCTGGTGGAACGCAAGCCTCCCTGGAGGAGCGGATGACAGGCATGCCCAGTTGTTGCGCGCAACTTTGATGCAACTTTGCCGCACTTCTTTTTCGGAATTCCCGGGCTACGTGTTCCAAAACATGTGCGACATTTTGGGAGTGCAATCTGGAGCACATGTGCATCAACTGACGCTGGAAGAGTTTGCCGCAATCGAAAGCCAGCAAAACTACCAGAACTTTCTGTCACAGCAAATCGCACAAACCAAGCCTCTACGAAGCGCGCGCACAAAAAGTGGTCCGGTGCACGAGCAAGTGTCTGAAAGTGACGGCCAGCATTCTCCTGACCAAGGGCAAAATCCAGCGTTCGACGGAGATAGCTTCGATGAGGAGTTGCATTCGCAAACCAAAGTGTCTTTCACCTTGAGTGACTGCATACAAATTCTTTCACGTGAGCAGGAACTTGAACGAACAAAAAAACCTGGGAAGCACAGAGAAGGAGATCTTCACATCAAACAATTTGCAGATATCTACAAACATATGATGGTAGGACCTCCTGCTGATAGCAGCGAACTTCGACACAGAATACCCATTTTACCAACGCACTGCCTGCCACAAAACGCGAAATCGCACCAGGCAGCTGTAGCAAAACTTCTCCGCAAAGAAATGCTTCAGTCCGATGCCACGACAAGTTGCCCAGCATCGGAGAACCTTACGCCTGAAATGGCTGCGCAACAGCTGGAAGAGCTTTTTGACAGGAACGCCAACCGCGACGAGGCACAAGTCACAGAAATTGACGTTCCTTTAGCGTGGAAAGGTCCTGCAGCGTATGCCAAATCTCTCATTGATAAGTTTCCTTTCAACCAGGAGCAGCTGGACTTGTTGGCCCTTCTAGTGAATCCACTTGAAGTTGCGCGGCGAAACCGAGAAGATACATCTGTGTACACCTTGCCGGTCGACCTAGGTCTGGTTCGTGTTCTCCTTGTCGGCGGCGGGGGCTGTGGAAAAACCACTGTAATTGTCCAGGTCTTAGAACCGTTGCTGAATGTTTATTTTGGGGCTCACAATGTGCAGCTCGCGGCTCCCTCCAACAAGGCTGCCAGAATTATCGGCGGTAAGACAATACATAACCTAATTGGTGTCCGTGCCAACGATAGCTTAAAGTCTTACCACTTGTGTGTCCGACGGCACGCAGACAGAAAAAAACTTCAAAACACCCTGGGGCGGGCGGGGGCTGTGATCATAGACGAGTGGTCACAGGTTCCAACAACTTTATTTCACGCTGCTTCCTTGCGGGCCACATCGATCCGAGCTGATCAATTCCAATTAGATTTGGCACGGTACGCGCAGCCGACACAGCTCTTTGGCCGTGTCTCGTTCATGCTTCTCTCAGGCGATCATTTACAACTTCCACCTGTCCCAAAAACTTCTTCATTACTTGCGACGCCAGATGTTGGAGGACATGAACACAAAGCTGCTTTGGCTATGTTCGCGCGAATCCCACAAGTCTTTGTCCTTCAAACAGCAATGAGATTTGAGGACGAAATCCAAAAAAACATTTTGCGCAAAATGCGGGTGCCCGGCGGTGCGCGCCTGACAGATCAAGAGTGGAGCCACTTGTCGGAGACTAGGCTAGAAGACAAAGCTGCTTTCCAGTCCCCAGAAGCTTTGGTGCAAGCCACCGGCGACTGGTATGAGAGTTGTTACCTGTGGTCTATCACTACCTTGATTGCCTTTATTAAAGCACGGCACTCGGCCCGCGAAGCCAATCAAACTCTATTTTTCGTTCCTGCAGCAGATTGGCCTGACCAAGCCTGTGAGCCCCATCATCTCAAGCATTTGCTTGGTGTTTCGAACGTGTCCACCACAAAAAAACTGCCAGGCGTAAACTTATTGCACTTTGGGCAAAAAGTACGGCTGACTACATCGGTTTTACCCCCCTGGGCTGTTCAGGATACCGTTGCAACAATTGTCGACATTGCTTTTGCTGAGCGCCTCCCAGCAAAATTACCCCCAGAATACTATTTAAAAAAACGCCCAACCGCAGTTTATGTAAAACTCGAAGGAGTGGATTTGGAATTCTTGCCGCCCAAACCTTGCGCGGAGCATTTGATTTTCAACCGACACTGCGACCAGTGTGTGTCATATCCTGGAGTCATTCAAGCGCTTTCAAAAACGCAAACGTGGTCTTACACCTTGCCAGACGAGAAAATTTCATTGAAGATCAAGCGGACGGCATTCCCACTCTGGCCAGAGAAGGCCTGCAGCCTATACACGATGCAAGGAACGACAGCGTCCCCCGGATTAGTGGCGCACATGACTTTGCCTGCCAGATCACCGGCAGACATCAAATTCTTGGCTGTCTACGTGATGCTTTCACGCCCTCGCTCCTTCAAGAACTTGTTGACGCTGGGGCTCAACGACAAAATCCGAAACATCATCGAAAGCGGACCTCCTGAAGAACTCTTGGAAACCTTCGCAACCTTGTTTGGATCCAAAGCTGACGAGACACGCGAAGCAGCCCGGGAGGCGGCTGAACATTTGGGGTGGCAAGCTGGAGGCTGATTGAGGTTTCTTAAAAAAACTCCTTTCGCACAAGCTTCAGCTATGTGCCTTTTGAACGTTCGCAAACGTGCTTGTGGTATTCGCACGGACAAAGGAGAAACATCCATGCCATGAAGGTGCCAGACTTTTGACTTCGAGAGCGCCAGAGCGGTGAAAAAGTAGCGCTCAAAGGCCTTGCTCTTGGGGAAAATGCTTCCAACGTTTCGTTGTAACGTACCAAAACTGTCAGATTCGTGTGAAATACCGTAGAAACGTGACGTTTTGAAGTGTGAGGGAGTGTCACAGGTGATTTCGCTGCGCACCTGCCCATTTTGGGGGGTTGGCGTTCTTCCGAGAGTGTGAGACACCCGTGTCGGTCAAGAGTGTCAAGGAGAATGGCTTCTTCTAAGAGTATCAAAAGAGTCTCAAAAGTTTCCTCGTAATGTCTTGTAAATCAGAGTGTCCTCAAAGAGAGAGTGTCTTCTATGTCTTACCAGAGTGTCTTTCAAGAGCGTCTCTTCCGGAAACGAAAAAAGTGCGAGTCTAGTCGACCTGAACCTGGGGATATGACCAGCGCTGGCTACCTTGCAACACACTTGCCCCAAAGTTTTCAAATTAGCAGAACAGGTGGGTAGAACTTCAAGCTCCTCACCTCCGTTTCACCTTCTCACCCTGTACACCAGCGTTGCGCGTGGACAGAGAAAAAAGCAAAAACTAGACAAGGTTTACCATGGATCCAGAGGCGGAATCTTCGAAGAATACATGGACAAGGTGATCAAAATGAGGGCGCAGTGCCATTTTGAGACGTCGAGGAAAATGCAGGAAACTCTTGGGGAACGCGCCCCTGTGCAAAACCTGTGTTTGGTTTTGGCAAGGGGGCGCGCAAATGTTTTTGAGGTGTGAATACATGGCTCAAGCATGGCGTGGCCGCACAGCGTTCAAGGATATAGAGCTGAAATGCTCGCCAATTTCTACGTAAAAACATTATCCAGAAGAGCGCCAGACAATGGACCCAGAATCCAGACCAGGAGCTGGCCTCAATCTTCTTTTTACGCTTTTCCCAAAAGCATCTTCGACGCTTGGGTTCTCGTTTAGTCGCTAGTGCCGCGGAAGAGCGAGACAAAGCGTGCGTTGTCGGCGACGGAAGATGGATGTGGAGGAGGACGGGGCCGGGGAGGGAAGATGGAGGGGAGCGAGACGGGAGGTGCATGGGTGGGGACGGGGCTGGGGAGGGAAGATGGAGGGGAGCGAGACGGGAGGCGCACGGGGCTGGGGACGGAAGATGGAGGGGAGCGAGACGGGAGGTGCATGGGCGGGGACGGGGCTGGGGAGGGAAGATGGAGGGGAGCAAGACGGGGGGCTGGCAGAGAAGATGGCGCATGGGACGGGGCTGGGGAGGGAAGATGGGTGCACAAGTAGAACGAAGCATGGGTGGGGGTAGTGCTGCTCCATGCTTCGCGGAAGCCTGTTGGGAGGTGAGTGGAGCTGCGTTGCGGGGCTGATACGATGGTGTTGGGTGTCCAAAATGTGCACAATGCACGCGCCAGATAGTCAAGTCATGGCCAACTCGGCAGGATTGTTGCGTGCCAAAAGCGCAACGCATAAAATTGGATGGTTGGAACGAACCATGGAGGGGGCTGATGCTGCTCCATGCTTCCTGGAACGGTTGTCAGAAGCCATGTTCCAATCGTTTTATGACCGTTTTGGAGGGCTTTCAAAACTGACCAAGGGGCGGACGGGGGTGTATATGGCAGACAATAAATTCAACGAATTCAGCGAAGCAGGACTGCACTGCATCCCTTGAATTGATTTGCGGACTTCATTCGCGAAGCGCCGCAAGAAACCTGTGCCATTTGCGATTTTGCCAGGACCCCGCAGGGGATCCTTAGATTTGGCTGTAAGGCTGTGCGATTCAAACCGCCGTGCGATTTAAGAGAGAAGAAGCGCTTTGACGATCCTGTTGCGGAGAGGTAACGCCCGACAACCCCAGAAAAAGTTAGGATTCTTTCAAGATGGCGGGGGAGTTTCCTTGAAGAACCCTTCGCATTGATTTGGTTCGACTTTTGTTGAAACGATATCAATTTATATACACATCAATTTACCAAGCAGCTTGCGCATGGTCATGGGGACTACTCAAACTGCAGGCATGCAAGACTTGGCGAGAGCACGAAGGTGAGTGCCTTCATCCTTCAAGTACTTCATTTGCATTTGTGTTTTGTACTTGGAATGTGAATTAGAATCGCAGGAATTTATTCCTTGTGATTTCTGAGTGCAATTCCTCTCAAAGTCATGTGTCATCAGGTGAGCCGAACACTATTTGCCGACGAACTTGCAGGCCGAGCGACGAGAGAGAGAGAGAGAGAGTCGAGTAGTCGCTTGCAAGAGCACTTCTTCCGTATGCACAGTGCCAGCACGTGTCAGTGAATTGAGAGTGTTTGAGGTGATACGGGCTGAGACAGATGCTATGCCAGGTACCCATGAAAGCTTGAGTCTTGAGACAAACGCGAGAGTCTTGAGACAAATGAGCCACGCCGATAAACCTATCAGTTCTAAATCTGAAAGCAGCGCAACAGAGTAATTCTAATGTATGCGCTGTGCGCTTGCTTCTGATTTTGCTAGGCCGAATGTACTGTAGATTATTTATTTTATGACTTTTTGATATTGTACTTGCTGGCTCAAACTCAGTTTGGATGCTTGCTCAGACTTCAAGAGCCTCTTCGGCGGGATTGGGGTTTGCAAAAAGTACTCGTGTCAGGAAGCAGTGGAGCTGAGTGGAGCTGAGAGCGAGTTTGCTGCAATCAGCGGCACTGCGGCGCATGAGTTGCATACAGCCAACACTTCCACAACAAAGTGCCGACATGCAAAAAAATCATGTTTGTCACGGATGTTGCTATGGCAATGTCAATTCTAGTGCCCGGTCGACGTCGAGAGTTTTTTAATCAGGTTTGATCTGTCTCCTGCTGGTTGCCAGCATCAGACAGGGTTCCCATTCACGTGGCCCCCACCTAGGGTGTGCCAAGCACTTGGGTTTGCCAGGCAGTGGGTGGGTCACACAATGGGTGTGCCATATTGGGGAAGTGGCCGCGAGATGCAAAAAGGAGCTTATATGTGTATTTTGACAATGACGCAAAGTTATCAACGAATTCAACGAATTCTGTCTGTTTTTAATCAACGAATTCAACGGACAATAAATGCGAAAAACTGTTTGGGGTCTACGCTGGTGTAATTCCGTGCATGGCCACTGGGCTAAGCCGAGAACCCAGCTAGTTTCTACCCTTAGTAAAGGGCTAGTGAGTTCCGCAGACATGCACGTTACGCCGTCACCCTGTCAGTCCGTTTTCGCCTTGAGCTTTTGGCCTTCTTTCCTCTTGAAGTCCTCCAGGTTCCCGTGGTTCGTACTGGTACCCTTAGGAAATGGAACCCTAGGCCGGCGTGTGGCACCGCTTTCAGTTCAGTACACCCTATCCTAAGTGTGTCAACCGTGATGGGAAACGTGTATTGCCAGCGGTTGACAAGGCTCTGAACAGCTTGGATCAGGCGATCTTGGGGGACGGAATTGAAGAAGCCGACCAAATCATCGTTGACGGCATAGAGATCCATGGAGACGGGTGTGTGCTGAAGGTAGTCATGGAAATGGTGCCAAAGTTGGGGAGTGGAAAGTTGTCTTGGTGATTGCGGTAGGAGGCGATATATCATAGTGTTGAGGACGTTGGAGGTGACACGTAGAAGTGGGCCGTAGCAGGATTTGAAGTATGATATGATGGCGCGACCTTTGCGCCATTGTTTCTTGGCTTTCAAGTGGACAACTCCATATGGCATTTTGAACTTGGTGTTGAAGCCCCATTTGTATTTCTGGCGAAGGTGTGGAGGAAAAGTCTGTTGGATGATGGCGGAAATGGTCTGGTCTGTATCGTCTGGTAATGGTTGGAAGAGTTCTGGTGAGTGCCAGGTGGCTAAGCATCCACGGAAATAGATGCGTGGGCAGAAGATCCGGAGATGTTGTAGTTCATGATCAGCATGATGAAGGACAACTTTGTCGCCTAAGAACTCTTGCAGCTGCTTGACGGATCTGGCAGTGAAGCGGTCCTCGCGCTGAAGTTGAAGGTTGTGGTGTTTCCATTGGGCGGCGATGAACGCGTCGAAGTGGTGGGCCAAAGTGGTAGGGAGTCCATGATATCGAAGCCATTTGTGCAAGCTTTTGTGGGCGGAGTCAAAATAGTGTTGTTTGGTGGGGAAGAAGGCGCTGTTCATGTTGGCGTTCAAAAATCGGCGGAGGTGAACCGAAGTTGTAGATCGGCGAGGGTCACGATCAAGTGGTCGTCATCGGGAAAATGGGAAGTGGGCAGCAGTAGGGTGCGAAGATGGGCGCACCCACACGGGAGCTGATCAATGTCCGGGGGACTGCTCAATAGCGTTTCCCATCGCCGGTGGTTGTGTAGGCGACTGCGGAGGGTGAGGTGGGCCGCTTCACGCACGCGGCATGTGGGGAGGTGGAGGGGAATGGCAAAATGTTTGTGATGGTTGATAAGCTGGGCCAGCCAGCGCTGGACGTCGGATTGGAAATTGGGGTGGGCAAGGAACGGGATGGTCAGAGGGAGATTGCTCTTCGGTGGGGTGAGATTGCGAAAAGTCAATGCTTGGTTGAGAATGTGGATAGCTCGGCTTCGTCCTGGTTCTTCCAGGCTGGTGGCCATACGACGGATGGCGTAGACTTCGAGATCTGTGTACTTGCCCGAACGAAGGTGTCGAGCGGCGTCGAAAGACGCTCGTGTGTGTTTGGTCAGGTCTCGCAGGACGGTAAGGGCGTGTAGTTTGTGTGATGTATGAAGTAAAGGCTGGGCTGTGGATTGTAGTCGTCGTCGTAGTCGTCGAAAGAGGCGGTAGTGGTTGGCTAGGCGTGGAAAGAAATGTGCTCGATGCCTGCTGAATTGCCAGCCGTCTGCTTTAAGTTTGAGGTGCTGTGAGATGTAGGGCCAGTTGAGTGTAGGTTGCCATCGGGAGATGTACAAATGTTCATGGAT